ATTCTATAAGTGATTTTAGAGGGAATCCTACAAGGCATTCTATAGGTATTCTGTAGATACTCTAGATGGCACAGGTAAGGCATACTAAGGTATTCAACAGGGTATTCCTGAAAAGCCACGGAACGGTAGATAACTGAGGGGGGGGGTAGCATATATATATATATATATGTATCCTGCATGACCTCATAGGGACCCAAAGCTATGGGAATTATTGTATATATCTTATTATGGGTACTGCAGGATTTGCATCATCAACCGTAGGATTCAACTCTTACCGTGAACCCTAAGCCACTTGGGATTTAGGGTGTCGGGTTCAGGGTGTAGGTTTTAGGGTTTAGGGTTTAACGTTGAAGAGCTAGCTTATCCTACTAGAGAACGACCTCCATCCCGGAGTAGGAGTCGCAGGGCTCGGTTTCTCTTGAGCCTTAGTCGTAGAGTTGGTAGCCCTTAACCTTTTGGCGGCATGATAGATCCGAAGGGTAACCTCTAGTTCCCCATCATACTCGAGACAGGCAATTTCCTTGCTATAGAGTTTGGAGTCGTGTTGGTGTTGAGGGATCCTTTGAGGGTTGGCGGGTCTCGGGTTGGGGCATTAAGGTCTATCTACAGCAGCGGTAAGGGCTGCGAGAGAATGAACAGCCTGTTTGAGTCGACGAAGTCTGTCCGATAGGGTGCGGTTGCTGTGCCTCCTACAACTGGGCACAGCAAGGTGACAACTATCAGGTTGATTACTGATGCAGAACTTATACAAGCTTCTATCAGGGCCCGGTTGGAATGATAGCATGCTCGCATGCCTGGACATCCCGAGTGGCTGTAGAAAAAGGACACAGAAGTAATTTAGAAACCCTAAACCCTCAGCCCCTGAAGCCTGAACCCTAGACTCTAAACCCCTGAAGCCTAAACCCTTAGCCCTGAGATGTCTGTGCCTGTGGCAGGCAGCCCGAGCCCGTCGCCGACACCTTCAGGCTGCTAGGGACTTGTACGAGACCGTTGTGACGGCTTAGGGTTTCAGGTTTAAGGGTTGGGGTTTGGTTTAGGGGATAGTGTTTATGGGTTACGATTTAGGGGTTCGGGTTTAGGGTTTAGGGTGTAAGGGCTAGAGGTCAGGCGTTTCGGGCTTCGGGATCAGGCTTCAGGGTCTCTGATTGAAATCTCCCACCGTGCACGGGCTACTTACTGTTTCATGGGAGCTTCCGAAAATACGGGGTACCTTATCTTTGGGTCCTTTGTAATTGTAGGGTTCCTTCAAAGGGCGATCCTAGTCGCATCAGGCACATGTCAAAAGCATCCGACTAAGGTGGCAGCTACCAAGTGACATGAACAGAACGGCACTCCCCCGGTCCCCTATCCTAGTCACGTCTTGAGCTTCTTTTTTTGTGGAGGTTTGAGGTTTAAATATAGGGGCCTTACTATTTACCTATACTATTTTGGGCTATAATTATAGACACCCAGAACCCTGAAACCCCGAACCCCAGAACCTTCAAACACTCCAAAGTCCCGCGATGGAGTGCAGAGAGATACCCTTCGGGACCCACAAGCCGTAAACCCCCAACCCGAGCAGCCTGAAACAGAAGAAATCCAAGCAGGTAAAGCCAAGAAGAAGGACAAGTGGGAAGCGAACGATGTCTACGAAGGCCAGTCGAGACAGAATGAGAGAGGGGGGGGGTATATGTGTTTACAAGCATGTATATGCAACATACGTTCAGTGCTATAAACTGATGATGATGATGGTAATTTCATTGATGCTCTCTATTGATATCTATATATGTACACACATAACATCTGGCGGTTTCAGGTAGCAAGCCCAAGTCTTAAGAACCCGCCCCTCGCCGCATGCATCCAACCATCATCCCGATCCTCTCTGCGCAACCCGAAGTCCAACGTAACAGCACCCGAAGGCCCAGGCTCCTTTAGAGGTTCTTTTCAGGATTCCTTTGAGGTTTCCTTTCAGGGTTCGTTTGTAAGGGTTCTTACCAGGTTTTCTTTAGGGTACGCGTCAAATTTAGCGCATTTCAGGGGCTGCGGGTTTGAGGTTTCGGGGGGGTAATGTGGGATTGGGCTGTAGGGTTTATTACCTAAGCCCTGAGGCCTAAACCCTGAACCTAACCCTAAGCCCCAATCCGAAACCCTAAACTTGAAACGCAAATCCCTCCCTTCCTTTCTGGTCGCAGGGGTAGACCAGGACATCGACACGGCAGATCAAGTCGAGTCGTGGATGCATCCTTAGCCCTAACAAGCCTAAGGGTTGTAGGGCTTAGGTCTGAGAGCCCTAAGCCCCACAAGCCCTAAGCACTAACAACGTAAAAAATGCATTAAACTACTTTGAAACACCCGAAAAACCCTAAATGCCCTAAGCCGTCATCCCTGAACCCTGCATCCCTGTCTTGCTAAGGTGCAAAGCGAATCCGAACCTCTAAACATACTACAGGGGCCTTAAACATTGGAATAGGGTTCATCTTTTTGGCGGTTTTTATAGGGGGTCTGAATGATTGGAATAAGTTTTGCGAGTGTAATATCATATCATGCTATGATGGTTTGGAGCTTAGCCCCAGTGCAATTCCTTCGCAAGGGTATTGAGTTTCAGAAGATCCGGGAGATACGAAATACAAAGAATAGAATCCATAAAATCAAGCAACAAGTAGGATGTTTAATATGTCGAGCTCTGAAACAAAGGTGTCCCTCGTTTAAACAAACCCTGAACAAACCATAATTCGCAAGCCTTTAAAACCCTAAACCAGACCCAGGAGAAGGGAGAGACGTGGGCAAAAGCATCCGGGAATGCCAACTCCTTCCTCTCGCATCCGGAGCCTCGTCGTTGAGGGCTTCGGGCTTAGGGTTTAGTGGGGTTTAGGGTTCAGGGGCAGACAAACCCGGCTTATGTATTTTAAAGACGTCTTAATTGAGGATTTGTGATTCGGGTTTCTGAGATGTGGGCTTGAATATTTAGTCATAGTATTCCTGTGGTCCTTAATCTACTTGGAGTATAGAAACACTCCAAGACCGGTGTCTAACGTATCCAATAATCAGAGTGGGTTTGTCATATTACCTTAACCTGCTACAGCCGATTTTCTGCAGCGTCCTAACATGAGTTTTGGAAGAGACGTGGAAAGGCCTAGCTTAGGGTAGCGTAAGGTAGGGATACTGCACATGACGTTCCCTAAGAGACGTATGTTGGAAGATCTCGCTGCTTTCGTTTTCGTGAGATGTGAGACTCGCACAGTCAGTCCTGAACCAGAAACTGCAATATGGAAGCCTAAATAATCACCAATATTATTCCTTAGCCTTCCTTATTGTAAGTATCCTTGCAAGAAGCCCAAAACCTTATTCTAATTATTAAGGCCGCTACATTACCCCTGAACTGAGCCCGAAATCTTCCAACGCCGAACCCCACACCCTCCACCCTGAACCCTGATTTCCTTCATTAAGCCTGACACCCCAACCCCTAGGCCCTAAACCCCTGAACCCNNAACCCCTAAACCCTCAACCCTACGCGCAAACCCCAAGCTTGGCCCTAAACCCTAAATGCCCCCAACCCTAACCAACCTAGGAAAGACCGGATCCCCAGCTGTTCGGCACCGTCCCCGAAGCCATGGAGAAGTGTGCGGAAAGGCTTTGACATCCTAGAGAAGAGCTTTTTTTTTTTTGGGTGGGGGGGG